CCAGAAGGACAGCACTGGACCTGAATCTGGAAGGCCCTGTGGCATTAGCCTGGCAAACAAGCAGGGAGAGAGCGAGCATTTGGGCAGAGAGAACCCCACAGGCAAAGGCAGTATAGGGGACTGGGGGGAACACCCCCGTTGATGTGGCTGCTGGCCGTGGCCGTGGCCGGGGGAAGCTAGCGGTGGAGGGGTTGGAAGCAGAGCCTCGAAGCACATGGCCTGATGCCAAGCCTCGGGGATTGCCACCCAGTGCTGGATGTGGGAAGGTATAGAAACGAGTGGACAGGACATCACTGGGCATGCAGTACTTCGAGATACGCTGGCGAAAACTTGGTCCATGAGTCCGAGTTTCCGCAGGGCTGGAACAAGCCCTAACTGGACTCTGGTGAGGGTCAGCAGTGGTTCAGACAGAATGGAGGTGCTTCCACACCTGAGCACCAGGAGCCCGTTACCAGTGAGGAGGCGGCCCCCTGCCCAAGGCCACCAGTTCAAGTTCTCGATGGAGTCTGCCTCCTGACAGCCGGTGTCCAGGGCCCTTTCGTTTCTTGACAGTTTGAGAATCACAGGTTGCTACAGCTGAAGGGATCTTAGCAACCATCAGGGCTACCCTCTCATTGACATTGGAGACCTTTGGGCCCAGCACAGTGGCTGCCCAAGTTCCCCCGTGGGACCAGGTCATCCACCTTTGGGAGCAAGGATCTGGGTCAGGGAGGACACCCAGGGTGGGAGCACGCAGTCTAGCTAAGGACTAAGTGTTTATTGACTGGAGGTTTGGAAGAATTATGTGAGAATGTATGTCAGTGTGCTTCACAAAGTGATAAAACACTAAATGTAATTTATTGTTACTTTCCTCCAATCCCACTCCCTTCAGCTTCTCCAGGTCTCCCTGACTTTCTTTCTCTTTGGAAACACCTTCCTGAAGGCCAGGCCCTATGAAGGGAGGTGGAGGACCTGGGACTGGTGCTGTCAGAGTCAGGGCCTCCTTTTGAAAAAGTCCTTTGTCATTTTGGCAAGATAATCCAGCTCTCCCAGCAGCCTCCCCCTGGGCCCTCAGCTTTTGCTGCCTGGGAGGCCATTCAGTGCAGACAACAGCGCCTCCTGGTGGCGAGAGGACTGAGCGGGTTGGCAAAAGACTGAAGTTGGCTGAGGCTGGGAGAGGAGATCTCTGGTCTCTCTACAGTATGTGTGTTAAAATTTCCACAGTGAGACATAAAAAAGAAATCAACCCAGCCTGAGCTTCAAAAGAGAGAACTACTGATCCACGCCACGTGGATGGGTCTCAGAACCTGGATGCTGAGTGAAAGGAGCCAGAGGAGAAAGGGCCCGCTGTGCGAGTCCAGTACCTAGGCTTCTAGAGGGTGCGCACAGATCTGCAGCTGCGAATCTACAGCGATGGAAAGTGGACCAGTGTTGCCAGGAGGCGGGAGGGAGGCAACACAGAGCAGATGAAGAACATGCTTAGTGTCCTCATTGCGGTGATGGGTTTACAGGTGTATCCACAAACACCTGCAACTACGTGGTTACGGATATTATTGATACGTGTGCATATACAGCGTGGGGCAAAAGGAGGTTTACAGTTGTATGAGAAACAGGTTTTTTTTTCTTGTATTAGTTATTAATTATTGTAGTATTTTCCATTTGAACAACTGTAAACCTACCTTTGCCCTACCCTGTATATACATATAAAGCTGTTAAGAGCTAAGGGGAAAGCTCTTTATTTTATTTATTTATTTTTGATGTTTTTTTTATTGATTTCAGAGAGAGGAAGGAAGAGGGAGAGACAGAAACATCAATGATGAGAGAATCATTGATCAGCTGCCTCCTGCACGCCCCCTACTGGGGATCAAACATGCGACCCCGGCATGTGCCCTGACCGGGAATCGAACCTCGATCTGAATCCTAGGCTGATGCTCAACTGCTGAGCCACACCGGCTGGGCAAGAGCTATTTATTTATTTATTTATCTTCATCTGAGGATATTTTTTCCACTGCTTTTCAGAGAATGAGAGAGAAAGAGACAGAGAAACATCGATGGGAGAGAGACACATGGACTGGTTGCCTCCCCCACAAGCCCCAACCAGAGCCAGGGATGGAGCCTGCAACCGAGGTACGTGCCCTTGGCCGGAATTGAACCTGGGACCCTTCAGTCCAAGGGCCGAAGCTCTAACCACTGAGCCAAACCCTGCCAGGGCAGGGGAGAGCTCTTTAAGTAGAAAAAGCAGGATATAATACATTTTGGTAAGATATGTAGTGGATTTTCTAGAAATTAACTGTTGACATTTCACTAAAAAAAATCCCTACTTGTGAGAAGAGGCAGAGGAGACTAAGAGTTGGTCTTACTCAATTCCTCCTCGTGTTCCTGCGTCTTGTTCAGCTGTGGTGTNAGTGGATTTTCTAGAAATTAACTGTTGACATTTCACTAAAAAAAATCCCTACTTGTGAGAAGAGGCAGAGGAGACTAAGAGTTGGTCTTACTCAATTCCTCCTCGTGTTCCTGCGTCTTGTTCAGCTGTGGTGTTTTTTCAGAGCCTCCTAGGATCTCGAGTGAGAACATGTCCCCACCTGGGCCCGACATACTCCGGCCTCCTTGAGCTCAGCCCCGTTCCCACGGCCCAGGCCAGGCTCCCAGTCTAGAAGTCTGACCTCCAGGTGGCAGGCTGCCAGCTGCCTGGTGGCAGAAACGCGTGTCTGCACGAGGCCTGGAGCAGCCACCAGGGGCTGCTGTGTCCCCGCTTTTCATCCAAGCTCCCCTGGCTGCTTCAGCAAGCCGTACTCCTGGGAGGGCGTCTAACAGGTTTCCCATTGCAGAAAGTCAAGTTAAAGGTGTAGGCAGATCGGTGGGAGGAAGGACCACACGTTCAAGTCGCAGGCACAGGAAGAAACAGGTGAAAACTGAACAGACAGAACAAGGCTGAGCCGTGAGGGAGATTACTGAAGAGTGACCTACCCTTTGAACGCAGCTTCGGGGTGTCCAGTTCACTGGCGTGATGGCATCACGGCGTCCCTGCCCTGCGAGGCCGGCAACACGTCCCCGTTGGTAGTAAGCAGAGCAGCGAGGAAAAATGGAGCCCGGGCTGTTTGTTTAGATGTTTGGTTCCAGTCTTGTGCGCTTTCACCCAGTTGCCCTCCTGATGGGAGAAACTATCGGTAACAACCCTTATTATTTAATCTGGTGATGGAAGGAAAAGCCACCCCAGGTGACAGCAAAAGCTGGTTCTAGCAGTAACCCACAAGAGGGAACTAGGGTCCCTACAGGGTAACTTCATAAAAAATAGCTGAAGGCCCGGCTGGTGTGGCTCAGTGGTTGAGTGCCGATCCATGAACCAAGAGGTCACCGGTTCAGTTCCCAGTCAGGGCACATGCCTGGGTTGCAGGCTCGATAGCCAGTAGGTGGTGTGCAGAAGGCAGCTGATACATGATGTTTCTCTCTCACCGATGCTTCTACCTCCCTCTCTCTCTCTCTAAAAAATCAATAAAAACATACTTAAAAAAAAAAAGAAAAAAAAGCATGGCTGAAGGATGGTTGGATAGAAATATTGCTTTTCTTCCGTGTGGCCCCTGAGAATATTACCAGGCCAAGGGGAAAACTTTCAGATGTGCCCGAGATAACTGAGAGCGCGTCTCAGATAGAGCTCTGTACACCCATGTGCACAGGAGCCTTAGTCACAGTAGCCAAAAGGTGGAAGCCACCGTGTCGTCGATGGGCGGATGAACAAAACGGGCGAACAGAATGAATAAAGATGTACAGTCCCCGTGAGATACCACCTCACGCCTGTCAGAGTGGCATCAAAAATCAGCAAACAGCCCTGGCCCGTGTGGGTTGGTGGTTAGAGCGTCGGCCCGTGGACTGAAGGGTCCTGGGTTCCAGCCAAGGGCACGTCCCTCGGTTCCAGGCCCAGAGGTCGGGGTCGATGCGTCTCTCACACTGATGTTTCTTTCTCTCCCACCCTCTTTCCACTCTCTGAAAAGCAGTGGGAAAAGTACCTTTGGATGAGGGTTTTTTTAAAATTACAAAATAAAAAATAAATCAAGTGCTGGCAAGGATGTGGAGAAAAGGGAGTCCTTGGGCACTGTTGGTGGGAATGCGGGTTGGTGCAGCCGCCATGGAAAGCAGTGTGGGGGTTCCTCAAAAAACCGAAAGTGGCCCGAAGGGCGTGGCTCAGCGGTTGAGCATTGACCTAGGATCCAGGAGGTCGGGGTTCGAGTCTCAGTCAGGGCACATGCCCCAGTTGTGGGCTCCTTGATCGCCAGTAGGGAGCATGCGGGAGGCAGCTGATCAATGACCCTTTCTCATCATTGATGTTTCTCTCTTTCTCTCCCTTCCTCTCTCTGAAATCAATAAAGACATTTTATTTTTTAAATATGCATTTTATTTATTTACTTATTTTAATATATGCTTATTGATTTCATAGAGAGGAAAGGAGAGAGAGAGCGACAGAAACATCAGTGATGAGAGAGTCATTGATCGGCTGCCTCCTGCACGCCCCCGACTGGGGATCGAGCCCGCAACCCGGGCCTGTGCCCTGACCCAGAATCGAACCCCGATCGCCTGGATCCTGGGTCAGCGCTCAACCGCTGAGCCACGCCGGGCCGGGCAAGACATATTTTAAATAAAATGGTGTAGCATTTGCATCAAATCTCTGCACAGCCTCCTGTGTACTTTAAACCATCACTCGATCACTTACAATGCCGAATACAACGTAAGCGCTACGTAAATAATCATTATATTGTGCTGCTTGGGGAATGAAGTTCAGGCAAAACTGCGTACGCACGTCAGCAACAGCGTTATATCTTTTTTCTGACTATTTTTGACCCCTGGTTGGTTGAATTTGTGGGTGCAGAACCCATGGCTGTGGAGGGCGCACTGTATGTACATACAGTGGAGTGTTATTCAGCCCCGAGCTGAATGTGATGGCCATCGTCTGCCAGCACAAAGCCGAGTATTGGGAGGCTCACCACCGATAACCTGATGCCTCTTCCTTTTGTCCTCTGAAGGTGTCCCCAGAAGAGAGGGCTGAAGGCCACGCAGAGAGCGGCAGCCTGTCCGAGTAAGTCCCAGAAGCTCACCTGCTCTGCCGGACTTCATGGGCTCTTCTGTGGGCTCCAGCTGCCCCCACAACCCTCAGGGCCCCCATCCGTCTTCTCCCCATCCCAGCTCATTTTCCCGACCCATTTCCCTCTCTAAATGCAACACTCTACCTCTGGAGAAGGTCCCAGCCCTGGGGAAGTGCAGACGCCTTCCAGCCTCCCAGCAGCTCTGACCTTCCTTCTGAAAAAGGCCCCGACCCAGGTCACACACGGCATCCCAACCCTCCCCTTTGGATCCCGATCCCAGGCTCGCCCACTCAGGATGAGACACCATCCTTGGCCTGTAGGAGTTTGCTGCCTAGAGGGGTGACAGGTGGGCCCCTCTAATCCCATTAGTCTTATCAGGAAAACATGTGAACACATTTAAAACCCTTGAAGGGTGTCAGCTGAGGACCCCAGGCCCAGAACTGATGCCCTGGGACTGCCACAGAACAGCTGGCTTCCTGCACTTTCCCCAGGTGTGGCCAGGAGACCCGATTGCCCTGGAGGGTCTCTGAGGTGCCTCACCCCCATTTCGAACCCCCCTCCCTGGCCATCTCAGTGAGCCCGCAGGGGACAGGAGGACCAGGAAGTAACAGTGGTTGGGCCCTGCCTCCGTCCCGGGTGCTTCGCTGGGACCTTTCTGCCCAGTGTTTCCCGGTGCCGAGCTCTGTGCTAGACACACAACATTCAGCATCTTGTCCACCCTTGGGTGGGCCCATGGAGAGGCCCCGTTTGTCCCCCAGCAGCAGCTCCTGTGAGACCCCCCAGAGGTGCAGGCACAGGAGTGTCGGGCAAACGGCTGTGGGGCCACAGCTCATACCTGCCAAGGGCAAGATTCAGTGTCACCTGCTGTCCATGTGTTTTACCATATTTCTGCCTCAGAAGGAACCTACGAACTACAGCTCCATTTTAGAGAGAAAAAATGGTCACGGAGCTGGTAAGTGGCGGAGCTGGGATTTGAATGCCCCCCACCTCGGGGCCTCGCCCTTGGACACTGCGGGCCCTGGCCTGCTGGCAGGCAGGGTCTGACAGATAAGGCCGGGGAGATGCAGGCGGAGAGCACAGGCCTGCTCATGCAGGAGACCGGGAAGGTGTCCCCGGGGCAGAGGCTTTCTGGTTTTAGTTATAGGATCAGAATTCCCTAAAGGAGCCACTGTGGTTGTCCAGTAGAGATACCGAGTTTGAAGGCGACATCGCGCCTCCTGACGCCCCCGTCTTTCTGTGTTTCTGGCCCGCAGAGCCCCGGGCAGCAGCCACAAGAGGCCGGAGACACAGTCGGTCATCCTGTACGACTGCTCAGAGGAGGAGCTGATGGCCAGCATCGAGCAGGAATACTGCCGCTGAGGGGCCGCCAGTGCCCGCCGACGGGCCTCTGAACCTGGGCTGGGGGTGCACATCCCCCCGCCCCCCCGGGCTGGACTGGAGCCGGAGGTGAGCCGCTGCCAACATGCAGCTCCTCACGGACCTTTCAAACCCGCCTTTCCAGTCCCCGCGTCTGGAACGCGGCCGCTGCTGGCGTCGTGCCGGCCGGGGAGAGGTGGTCAGCGGCGCAGGCTCAGCCAGACGCAGGGGCAGGTGACCTCCGACAGCTGCCCTCCTCTCGGTCTCAGGAGGGCCTGTCGACCAGGTCTGCCAGAGCCTGAACGCTCCCTCTTTCTGGTGGCCGGCTCTCCACCTGGGCTGGGGAGGCTCCTTAGCTGAGTGTAGCTCAGACCGGATGCCTTGGGGCCCCTAGCGTCCCACAGCACTTCAGCAAGGTTCCGCTGTGAGGTGCACCCAGGAGGGGTGCCCTGCCCAGGTGGAGGGAGCCACCCTGAGTTTTGCAGGTGAACCTGCTGGAGATGTCAAAATGCAGATTCTAAACTCTGGGCCTTGGAGTTGCATCTCTAACCAGCTCCCAGGTGACACCCACGCTGCTGGCTCCCAGCCACACCTGAGTAGCAAGGATGTAGGGTAGACCCCGGTGCTGGAGGCTGCTCAGAGCCTTGGCCCGCCTGCTTCCCCCAAGGGACAGCCCTCGGCCCGGAGCCAGGGCCCAGCCGTGATCCTCACTCTCTCACTAATTATCACTTTCCCTCTCTGGGCCTCAGTTTCCTTCTCAACTCCCTTGCTCTCCCCTGTTCCCACCCCCTGGGGCACAGGACTGCTCTCCCGCTGAGGGTGCTCACCTGCCCCACCTGGAAAGGGTCTTCAGGGCCACCTGCTCTCACCTGACGACTGCCTGATGGGGCCTTTTTACCGTCTTCCCACACGGCGGAAGGTAGGAAATCGCGGCAGTGAGGCCAGAAGACAGTGACCAATGAAAAAGCCGCCTTGCCCAAGATGCCCCCGTTATCGGAGGCAGGGCCAGGACCGCAGCCTGACTGGGAGGCGGGTGGTCGTCGTGGCCGGGAGTGGCTGCTTGGAGCGCAGGGAGGTGAGCGGTCAGGAGCCTGGGAGACAGGCCCTCGCTGGAGGCGGCAGCAGTTTTTGCTGAAGCCAGAAAAGGTCCCAGCGTGTCTCCCGAGTTGACCAACACAACGGCCTCCCTTGTGTCGCCTGCAAAACGCAAGAGCATCTCGGAAACCAGCACGCGGCCACTTGGCACAGTACCCAGACCCACAGGCCTGGTGCCCTCATGGGCCAACAGGTGCTTCCATGGACTTTCCTTATTTGACAAGATGCCTTTGACCAGATGTTTCAGAGCTGGGAGACTTTCTGTAAAGCAAGGATGGAGCCCTGGGGCCCCGGAAGGGTTGGCTCAGGACCCCCCAAAACAAGAGCTGTTTCTCACCCGATCCCAAACCCTTTCTTTTGATAAAATGATTAAAGCCATTACTGTTTTAATAATACAAATGCTGCTTTTAATATTTTTATTAATTTCTTAATCTTCACCCAAGGATATGCTTATTGATTTTAGAGGAAGGGAGAGAGAAACATTGACTGGTTGCCTCCCACACTTGTCCTAACTGGGGTTCGAACCCAAAACCTAGGTATGTGTCCTGATCGGGAACCGAACCCGCAGCCTTTTGGTGCACAGGACAATGCTCCAACCCAGCCAAATTTTATTTCTCACAACCAGATGGATCAAGCCTGGAACTTTATATTTACAATTTTACATCATTTTGTTCAGATGGAACACGTTCAGCCCGTTTCCAAGAGGATTACAGCTCTGCATTTTCCAGTGGAACCTCGTAAAACCCTAAATGAGAGAGGTGCTAAGAACAAAAATCCCTCGCAGTTAGTCTATGTCAGTGTCAAGGTGAACACACTTCATCAAAGCTAAAGGCACAGCAGGTGTTCTCGGCCATTGCTTTTATTCCTTGAATTCAGGAGCATCTTCTGAACAGCAGCTGGCCAGACGGAGCCCGTGTACCCGCTGCCCATTCTCTAAGGGTGAGATGGGGTGGCTGAGTGCGAGGGGAGGGTGCTGGTCCTGGAGGCGGCCAGGTGGGCCCAGGGGAGTGCTGCACAACAGAAACCATGCAGAGCACCCACTGTGTGCTAGGTCGGCCTCAGGCCTTCTCCTGGCTGCTTGGTGTTGCTCCTGAGCCTGAGCCTCCTGTTCTGGAGCTGAGGGTGGAACCTGCTCACAGACAGGGAGGATCATGGCTTAAATAAAGGGAGAAAACATCTCGATGTGCCAGTGAGCCCCACCCCATCTGCTAGCAGACATTCTGCATTTTTCTGATGGGCTCTGCATCAGAGGTGTTTCCATGCCCAGGGAGTTGGTGCTCAATTGTGCCCCTCGAGGAGGCCAACCTCAGGCCTGCTGGCCTTATGAGTGAACTCCGTGGCTTCAAGGGCCCCTGCAGCTGCCAAAGCCAAGATCCCACTGTCTTTTGGAGCCCAGAGGCATGTGTGGACATAACTAAGCTCCCTCTGTGGTACTTTGGTGGGGGTGTCCCTCAGTAGAGCCACCTGGGTACCTCATGTCACTGTTCTTAATTCCTCCACACAGAGCCATCTCCCCCAGGTTCAGACCCTGAGCCAGGTCCTGTTCTGCCAGGACCAGACCCAACGTCAGAGTGGCTAACACAGAAGCTGCCTCTTCACACCTTTCTTTCAGAAAGAACCTCCCACAGAACCTAAAAGGTGCCCTGAGTGCAGAACAGAACCCAGGAAACAAAGAAGAGGTTTAGACTGGGCCAACAGACAATGGATTTTGTAGATTATTTTCTGAAAAGTCACTGGGTACACCGTGGGACAGATAAATGACACGGGACACAAGTCCAGTTTGCAAATCTGGAGTTTTATACTATCCAAAGAAAGAAGTTACATCACACATATTCACTTAAATAATTAAGTCCAGGTCTGTTACATAAAACATTTCCAAAACATTTAAAATTTTATTGAAATTACTTAAAAGGCTCAAAGTCAACAAGGGTCAAGCAAAACTGCTCAGGGAGTAAAGTGCACTGGGGGACCGGCCACACAGGGGCGTTCTGCTCCGATGCTCAGAGCCCCGGGCCGGCCGAGGGGCTCCATGCGGAATGAACCACAGGGTTCTGGTTCTCAGGACAGAATTCTTCAGACGAAAGTGTTTCAGGGGACAAACAGAAGGCCAAAAAAAAAACAGTTTGCTTACAGACAAGGCATTTCTAAATCTAATCAGGAAATGGAGGTGTAAATTAAAGCCACGTGTAACACATCTATCCTTTAGACATGATGCTGCTCAGAGAATGAAACTCAATGTGACGAGCAACCAAATACCCAAAGACCTTGTATTACCCACCACAGTAGTAGGACTAACATTAAGGAAAACACCCGAATGGAATGCCAGCTATGGCATGCACAGGGAAATGTTTGTGCTGATTTAAGGTACGACTGGGGGAGAGAAAGGACCAGGCAGTGAGGAAACACCAGCTGTATATACCTAATTGCTGCTCTGGTGCACGGCTGTGCTATGTCTCATGACCAGGAGGCATACTACACAGAGCAAGTGTCCAAAAAGCAGGGAAGCCTCCCGAACACACAGCCAGCGCCCACAGATGGCATGTCAGTCACCAGTTCTCACTAAAGGGCAACTCAATGGTATCAACCAATGAATGACCAGGTGATGACTATCAGACTTAAAAGACCTGAAATCGGAGCCTAATTCTATTTATTCAATATTTTACCTTACCATCATCTTAATAAAGGTAAACGCCAATACTAAGAGGCAAAGACAAACTCTAAACACATACGGCACAGTGAAAACCACCCGTGTTCCTTCCACGTGTTCTGCTGCCCGGATTCCCGGTGCTGCCCAAGAGCAGCCGCGGTGGCTTCTTGGTGCAGTCGCCGTGGAGCCAGGGCCTGTGCTCCCACAGCTTCAGCGTGGTGCCCACGGCCTATTTCCTATCAGGCTGCGAAACACCCCATTCCAAGTAGTTTTCTGTTTGATCAAAACAATTTCCTTCAAACAACATGAATGAAAGGGCAGCTGGGTAGTGTCAGTGCCATTTAGCATAACTTGCATTTCCTCTGGCTCTTAATAAAGGAGTCAGAACACTGGGGATGGGCCGCCTGCATGTACACTTGGCTTCCGCATACAAACCACAACGCTGTACTTGGTGGGAAGTTCCTCCCACCAACAAAGCCATTCCTTTTCCTCTAAGCTGCTCTGCCCACAAAATACTATGGATGAAGCCACAGTAAAAGAAGTCAACTGACACTGACAGAGCAACTGGGCCTGAGAACTTACATTGTCTTTTTTTATTTTGGTGTTTGAGGTATAAACAGGAAACTGCAAAAGGTGTGTTCTCAGCGGAGCAGACACTGATCCTACAGAGGCTCCCTGAACACAGGGCGGCTGTCTACCGAGTGTTTTTAAGTTGTGCTCTGGGTACATCTTCCAAAAGTCACACCACGGACACAGGTGGCTAGTTCTGCTGAACCAGAATTTTAAGTCCTTGGGCTACAGCTGTGAAGGAAGGGCTGCCTGGAATATCCCTTGAGAATGTTACGAAGAAGCTGATTGCAGAGTTTCTCCCCATTTCTTTAAGAGACCCTATCAACCCAGTTCTGACTCTAAAAAATTCTTGCATCCAAAAGGCTTGATTGCGAACGTGATTTTTTTTCTTCTGGCTGAATAATGTTCCAAGGTTATTGAAAGTTGGGTTATTATAAAAGCATTAAACATTGAAAAGAAGACTGTAAAATAAATCATCTATCTAGAAATTGGTGATCTGAGTACCAACAATATAAACCTTTTCATAAAAAACAGTATAAAGTCATACCCTGTCTCATTTCTACAAAATATGAATAGAAAGGCTGTAAAAACCCAGATTTTGTAAAATTTATTGCCGAAATGTTTGTTTGAATGCTGGTGATTTAGATCGTCCAATTTTTTCCATTTCCTTAAAAAACTTCTGAAACTGTAAAAGACACTGAACCGGGGTGGGGTAGATTCTCAACCAAAGAAGAACAGTTAACATACTTTCATCAGAACCAGCCTCTCCTTTTCCCTCGGACCCGAGACGATGATCCTGGGAGAGAGAACCTGAAAGAAGTCCTTTAAAGTTCCATGGGCAACGCCGCGGCCAGCAGTTCAGGCAGAGGCGGGCGTGCGGCCGGCGGGCACCGGGGCTTCTCTGCAGAGGCGATTCTGTTCAGCTTGCCGTCTGCCTGCCAGCCGGGGGGCTTCTTGGTGGTTACATGGCGCCGGGTGTGCTTCGTCAGGTGGTCGCTGCGCATGAAGCGCCGGTCACACATGGGGCACGCGAACCTCTTCTCCCCGGTGTGAGTCCTGCGGTGGCGGGACAGCTCGTCGGAACGGGCGAACTTTTTGTCACAGCCGTCCCAGCTGCAGCTGAAAGGCTTCTCCCCTGACGGCAAGAAAACACGCGTTAAAGAAAACGTCAATACCCGGCACCTACCGGACAGGCTAATCCTACCGGGAATCACACCAGAAACCTTTTGATGCATGGACGACGCCCAGCCAGCTGAGCCACACCGGCCAGGGCTCACAAGTCTTTTATTTAATTTTTTTAACTATACTTTATGGATTCAGAGAGAGGAAGGGAGAGTGAGGGAGAGAGATAGAAACATCAATGGTGAGAGAGTCGTCATTGATCGGCTGCCTCCTGCACGCCCCAAACTGGGGACTGAGCCCCACAACTCGGGCATGTGCCCTGACCGGGAATCGAACTGCTATCTCCTGGATTCTAGGTTGATGCTCCAACATAGAACCACGCCCGGCTGGGCTTACAACAGTCTTTTTGAAACCATTGTAAGGAAAAGGGCCTGAACTGCATGGATTTCACAGACCCCATGCTGTAGGCATAAGGATGCCCACATGTTCCCAGGAACCCACCAGGCTGTTGGTAGCACACCAGGATGGCCAGGTGCTGGACAGAGAGGAACCACCCTTGGGCATGGGATTTATAAAGTACCCCATCTGTTTTGGACATTTCAGAAATGGAGCTTTTGCTCTCTCTACCTCATTCTAAGCTTAAAAATTTCAGTTGGTAGAAATATACGAAAAACTATCTTATCTAAGGTACAATTACCCCAAATTTCTACTTCTTATGAAAATTCCAGTTCAGTGTTATAAAAGAGCAGAAGAAGTTGATTCCTCAAACCTGTATGGACAGTTAAGTTGAAGCATACCTTGGGAAACCTGAAAAGAACCTGTTCGATCGCCGTGTTTTACGCCACCCTGTCAGTGTTTCTGCCAAGGGAGGCTGACTGAACAGTGAACCTCATCCCACTGCCACCCCAAATCTGGAATCTGTGCTTGGATGTGAACGGAGGGTCACCTCCGTCGTCTCAGTGGAAAGGAGAACTCGCCGAGTCGGGGAGCCCCTCAGAGGGGCCGGTCCACTCCGACAAGCTGCGGCAGCCGCCTGTGGCACCACCTGCGGCACCAGCGACCAGCCACCACTTACCAGCGTTAGGCCCTCAAGTCAGACACCAAGAGTGCACATCCAGACAGCCAAGAACATAAGAAACTAAGCCACAAAGGAAAAATGAGGTGGGAGACACAGTAACCACCAGGGTCAAGGGAAGGTGAGGTCAGGGAACGCTCGCAAGAAGGATGCTGGGAAGGCCTCAAAGGGTCTCAGAGACAGGAGGCGGGTAACGGGCCGGAAGGTGGACCTGGAGAGAGCGGGTCGAGGGGGGAGCAGGTGCGGGGGGCCAGGTTGGGAGCCTTCACCTGAGGTGCGCAGAGCGGAGGACAGAGCTCCCTTTGCCACGACCTCCCCGTCAGGCTCGGCGTCACCCCCAAGCGGGAGCCCCTCACTAGGGCGGCAGTGTGCCCGAGAAACTGCTCTGCCTCGGCTCCCTCCCGTCCAGCCTTTCAACCCTATTCCGCTATTCACTGGGGTCCCCAGGCCACTAGCAGGTACTCT